TTGTGAACAAGTCCTCCAAAAGCGATATATTGTTACGGACAAAAACATGCTATAAAGACTGTTTTACTGTTGCCGAGATTCTCATAGCACATATTACTGTTTTCCAGTTCATATTTTTTTCTACTATCCATCAGCAATCATAGAGATATTTCGGAATATGATAATAATAGGGAAATGATAACAGGAAACAACCTATTGATATTACGTTTTCACGATACAGCCAGCTGATAAGAATATTTAACCCCTCAAAGCCAGCTAATATTTTTACGATTTTTCAAATATCTGAATTGCATTCCCTCGCTTAATATTGGATACCTACATTAAAGAAAGCAAACATAATAATAATAGGAACTGCTTCTATAATATCCAACATCTTTTCATATTGCTAGGTCAAAATCTGATCTGATCTATGGCATTATTCTAAATTTGAGAGGTTTGACAGAGGCAAACGATAAGAATGAAAAAAGATCCAAAATCGAACAAATTATTCCAAATTAATAATTTATGTCATTAATATGTTCCAAGAATAAATCAATCTTAACTTCGTTTCACATGCAACTTCTATTCTCGCACTTTCTTTTCTGTCTGATCTCAAAGCTTTATGACAATCGAAATTTGAATCGTTGACTCAGAAATATGTTAACCAAAATATGAATTGCTTGCTAATCTTTGGAAACGTGAAGAGAAAAATTTATTTAAATGTAATATATTTGGCGTTTAGCAATAAAACCTCAACAAAATAATTATCATTTTTGATAAAGCTTATCAAAAAAAGAATGAAGAAAGTATCAAGTTATCACAGTGTTTCTTCCAGCGTTCATAACAACAATATATTTGTAGAAATTTTCAATAAAATATGTGACAGAAAAAGAGAAAAAGCGAAGAAGAATAACGATTAATAATTCATACAATCCTAAAAATATCTATCTCTCTTCTTTTCTTTCTCAGTAATTGAACTGTTATCAAAATTCTCTAATTATGGCCAAAGTTTATCCAAATGAACAGTAACTTTTCATATAAATCCTTTTACTTAAGATTACGTAATAAACTTGATTTTGTCAAAAAGGCTGACCAACAAAGTAAACGCTTCCCATATGACTTGCAATCTATTTCTTTCGAGCTCAAAGAATAATAAGGAATTAACAATGACCATGAGCTTAACATTACTCAAATAACAGAGCGCAAATAAAAATGCAGTGAACGAAAAGGAAAGAAAAAAAGCGTAATAACATTATTTCATCTACTTCTATGCTTTATATGAGAAAAAAAAACAACCATATATTCAAATTAACTTAACAAAACATAGTTCATTTATTCCTGACACTTCTTGAGCAAAGTGAATTAAAGTTAAGCTCATGTGTAAATTGATTAATTAACATATCCAGATACATAAATGAATATCATTATATGAGTGTAGTAAGGCACTGCTCAGTAATTACAAATACATCATAATTTGCAGAAATTCCCAAAATATATCAGTAATATAATACTATATAGTTTATAAATAATTTGTGCTTCATCTCTCTCAAGGAACCGAATTACCAATTACTGCTGTTGTCGGCGGTCCAACAATTATTTCTTGTCTGCCTGAAAAAGAAAAAATGACCTGCTATTATTGCTCAAGTACAGAACACAATCTAAAATAGAGAAAATTATTTAAAAAATTCCAACATAAAGTTAAAATATCTCACTTGATATGGAATTAGTTGGAGAAATTGCTGCTGACAGCTGTTGTAATTGCGCATTCTCCTTCCTATAGAACGCTTCTACTTCATCGAGCTCACGAGTAAATTCTGCTTCTAATGCCTGCAATTAAAAGATAAACATGTAAAACTACGCAGAAGTTTCCTTGCATATCTGCGTGATATTTAATTTAAAAAAGACAGAGGGATTCTTCTAGTTTACATTTAAAAAGTAAGACACCTGCTTCCTTACTGGCAAGCCAGCTTTCCAGTCAGCTATCACCTGTTCATATTCTTTCTCGTACATTTCCATTTTGTTTTCCTCTGCTTCCAATAGCATTTTGCGCTTCTCACTCTGAACAAAATATAATAAATTTATAAACACTGATGTTTTTGGTTTCACGTGATGAAGCCGTGATTCTCATTGCAATGCTAAAAAGATCGAAATTTCATTCATAATTTACTCACAGTAGCAAATCATTCTTGCTGCTGTACAATAACTTCCGATACTTACTCATTTAGAAGAATAGTACTGACAGTGAAAAAATTCAGACATGAAAACAGCAGTTATAAGAACAAAATCCATGTCGACAAGAGTTGAACTAACATGAATCTCTTCTAATTCCCGTATAGCTGTTGCATTTTTCTCTTTCAATTCTCTCAGTTTCCGAGCATATTTAGTGTCATGCTCCTCCAACGCATTTCGTACACGTTGCTTTTCCTTTTCTTCAAACGCTCGTATTTTTTCATTAAGCGTTGCAGAATCATCTCTCTAAAGAGAGAGAAAATTTGAACCTACATGAAGAAATTATGTAAATGATATTCATTATAATGTAAGCCAAACTTGAATATTTATTACCTGACAAGAAATACGTAGACTCTCTTTAAACATAGCAATTCGAGTTTTAGATTCGGTACGAAAATCTTTTGGCAAACGTTTTTTGAAGTTGGCATACAAGCGTACTTGTTCCTCCTCATCCATTTCATTTACTCGGCGCATATGATCCAATTCCTGCAGCAATGGAAATAGGGATATTTCAATCACATAAAAACTTACTATTATGTAAGTACCAACTCACTCTCTGATGCCGAGCAAGCATTTGAGTTCGTTGTAGATAAAAGCGATCTTTCAACTCTTGTTTGTTGAGATGATGCCGTTCAGCCAATTGCTTCTCCTCCAGATCCCATTCCGAAGCTTCACGTGATCTGAAGGCAAATAAGTGAATTTTGAAGAGATTTAACTAATATTTGATAAAAAATGTTTGATAAATTTGATATAAAATAAAGCATAATTTCAAAAAAAAAATTTTTTCCATTTCCAGAAAAAAAGCATTCAAGTAAAAAAGAACAGAAAGCAAAATCCAGCCTAAGAACAATTTAAGGCTTAAATTTCTTTGCATTCACTCAATTATTCGATAACAGTCGGGAAGACGAAAAACCTCAAAATAGCATGCTTTTGTTGTTGGAAATTTTTTTCAATCTGCAAAATCTTCATTTTATGATCCAGCTGGACACGAGTCATGCGTGCTGCTTGTTCGGATTGTTGTTCAGCAACAAAGTTCATCTCCTAAAAGATAATATTATTTCCCATGTTTCGAAAGTAACATACTATTATACACAGTAACTTATATAACAAATGTCTATATAATAGTTTGCACTAATTCTAACTCTCTTTTGTTGATCGCTATCCAGCTGTTCCTTGCGTATACGATAGCAATCTTTACGCTGACTTTTTGGGATTGTCTCCATTTCTATTTTCAGGTCGCGTTGTTCTTGTTTCAGTTGTTCGCGAAACATACGCAACTCACGTTCCTAAAATACAGTAATAATCTGAAAAAAAAAACCACTGATAATTTAAATAACCAATACGTTAAGCAACCAATACTGGAGAAACCATTGTAGTGCCCTCTACAGTACCGCTACACTGAATCGAATAATGAATAAGCTTTGATAAAGCAGGTCAAACTTGAAACTCAGCTGGACATTTCGTTTAATAATGACATCCATATAAAAGTATCATGTCATAAATTCTCCAACGGTAAGTGTATACTTGAGCAAAAATATTCAAAAAAGTTTAGTTATAACAGAATTAAAAGTAAAGTAAATATAAAGAAGATTGGCACTAACTTGATCACTTTGCATTCTTTTCAATGATTGCTTCATATCTTCACTATGTATTTCTTCACATTCTTTTAACTGCCTTTTCTGCGTCCTGGCCAACATTTGCAATTCAATATCTGTTTTCTTGTAGATATTCTAAAGTAACTAAGACAGTACTAAAAGCTGACCAAGCACATATCGAGTAAATTTCACAGGAAAAATAAATAATTTTTCTAATAAATTATAATAACTTATTCTATCTTATCCTATCTCCTATACTTCGGTTTACATATGAAATTTATGACTAGCAATTATTCAAATTAATATAAAATCAAGCAAATTACATGCCCCTGCATAATGACAAGTTAAAAATGGAAAAATACTTCTATACACTAACAAAATGCCTACTTCTTTATCGGCAGCAAAACGTTTTATTTGTTCGTTGCGTAGTGATTCGGCCTTTGCATTCAATTCACGCTGCTGACGCGCTTCCTCGCGCTGCAGACGGCGCAGCTCATGCAACTGCTGTTTCCTGGAAATGAATAAAGTGAACACAATAAATCAACACTAAAAAAAACTACATTGTAGTCATTTAAAAATCAAACCACCAAGAAACCAACTATTAAAAGCATCATGATCTCTCAGGAATAGGAACGCGAATCATAAACGAATTCCAATCCACTAGAACTGCCCATCTGGAGATCACTTTCGAACTACATGATTGATTATTCACTTATTGGCGAAATAATCAGTGAATAAACGTGTTACATAAATATCCCAGTCACAGCAAACTATCACTTATTCTATTTTCTTCCCCTTAACCCAATTTTCAAGATCATAATTGAAAAATTTGGCACAACAGAAAACTGATGTATTCACGGAGCCAAGCCATAGCAGCATGATCGAAAGTATAAAAACTGAGGATAAAATGAAGAAAAAATGATGTATCTTCAACAAACAGACAAGTAGAGATTCACGAACATCCATGCAAATGAAATGATAGCAGGTACTACCACCAAACAAAACAGCTATTAAAATATGGAGGAAAAATCTGACGACAGTAAGAATAACACAAATTGAAAGACTGACCAATCACCATAGAGCGATATATAATAACGTGGGATGAGACTGTAAAAATTATTCAAATGTTAGCAAATTTGAAGTCCAATAAAAAATAATCCGAATACTCAGAACAGGAAATGGAAAATAAGTCTCCACTTAATTTTTTAAATAAGTATAAGGCATTCTTGTCTTTCAACAACAGAAGTGAAATGGCAGACATTTCTAGCATTCAAGATTTCTTGCAATATTCTACTTTCCATTATATGGAAAGTAATTAAGTATAACAAAATAACAAATCTTGTTTAAATATGCAAAAACTACAACAGGAAATAATTTAAATTTCTGTTCCTATGAAACCAAACTATTGTGTCGCTGCAAAATGTTAAAGCTCGAGAACTTGGACTTTGAATACTAAAGAATTAACCTCAACTCATAGTCCTGTTTTACTCCGAATACTTGATGAGACGTTGATGTCATCTGGACACCATCGACGACGTATACTCGAGTTTTCTTGGTTACAGTTTGACGATGCGGTGAGCGTCGTGATCCCACAATTGATGTGCCAGTGCTTGGAGCCTGGGAACAGAAATAAATATTTAACTCGAGAGATGATGTGATCTTAGGTTACATTGGTTTAATTTATTTTTTCCTTTTTAGAAAATGAGACCTGTTGAAACCAAATGATTCTGCAAGCGATTAAACAAAAAAATAATAATCAATTCGACATTATTAGCTTGAGGAAGCAAAAAAAAGCAAAGTTATTGCTTGTGATTATGATAATAATAATTATCATAATTTAAAAAATTTCACTGAAGTAATACTAGGATTTAGTAACACTCATTTTAATGTTACTAAATCCTAGCATTACTTTAATGAAAAATATCTATGAGACGAATGCCAATCCGCAATATCATCGACCACTTGCTCCAAATATTTCTTATCATGATTTGATAATTCAGCAACACTTATTTCGCTCTAGCTTCCTGATAACATATGATTTCATATTTACGGTTTCCTTTTAATCTCAAAGAAAAGCTGGTTACCAAAAATAATTTACTTTGGTGCCATTTCCTACTGACTTTCTGTTGGTTGACACCTTCTGTTGTGAGCTTGATGATTTCCTGTCACCGCTACTGTTACCTATATTATTTTCATAATAATCAACCGGTGGTTCTGGTGGTGGAATAGTTAATACGGCCCGAGGTGTCGATATTACTGATTCAGATACAGCCGCTGTTCCAGCCGATGTCACACCACCATTGGCAGCTACGGCTACCAGAAAACCAGAATCATCACGCTGCAAAAAGTTGTTTTCAACAGTTGTGACTAATTATTAAGAATTGAAGTAAGAGCTACGTCGTGACCTTATTATTTTGAACTGATAAAGTTTTAACATTCAAAATCTTGAAAAAGCAGCTATACAAACAAAAGTATTAAGTGTAAAACTAGCTGATAAATTTACTGTATTCCATTTTTAATATTTCTGTAAAAATCCCAGACATGTATTTAGAGATAAAAAACGAAAATGAAATTATTTACCTCACCCGACTTGCCCTCATAATTGTGTCGATGAAAATGTTTGCTAGAATTTGATGAACTTGATGATGCTGTTCCAAAGTAATCATATTCGTGCTCCTATAATAAATTATTTTGCTGAATTATTATCGTAAGTTAAATGTTTCAAAAAATCCAATATCATGCGATGATAAATTGACCTCCTTCCACTTATTTCAAAATCACCAACTGCTGATAGAGCACAGTGGGTTGATCTGCTGTTAAATTTTTGCATGTTTATTTCAAGTCTTCGAATATGCCCAACTGCATTACAATCTTAGAGGTATCTATTCAGTATCAATAATTTATCGATGCATGATGTTATGAAAGCAACGAAGTTAGAAAAATCAACTTTCCAAATTAATAAAAATTTCAGTTGATTAGATCATCTAAAGCAAACTAAAAGCATGATCCTTACCAGATGCATTTCTTTTTTCTTGTTACTTGTTGAAGGCGTAAGCTGGTGATGACCTGCGAGAGCGCCATTTCGATCTCTTGCATTGTCCTTTTTCTGTTCATTTATATTCTTCAGAATCATTTTGTTCAATTCTTGATTTCGTTCCGCAATTAATTGTTTACAGTTTTGACTCTGTAATTACTAACATTATGCCAGTAATAACTTTTAAGAAAATGTAATTAAGTATAAGAAACTATTGCAAAATTTACCTGATCCCTTATATTTTGATTTTGTTCCTGCCGTCGAACATGATCAATAGCTTTTGCCGCAACAACAACACTATGTTGTGAGAACAAATGTGTTGGTGAAGGTGGCGATGGCGATGAACCAGCATTAGATGAGGATGCAGTAACAATCTTGAATTTTTGATTCATTACGGATAAAAATTAAACAGCTACTAGAATTATTGAAAAAAAACTTATGGAACAAACATATGTAGAAAATATTCCATTTATCTAATATACTTCCTTCCTTCATAAATTATACTTACTTTTCGAGCATTCGTTTGCTTACTTCTGCTTTCCGGATATGATAGTGGCCGACGGATTTCAATGATCGTTTTTTTATCTCTTTTATCACCTATTGACATTGCAACAGTCTTAGCAGACAAATTAGAAGGCTGTGTCATTCTAGCTTCTGTTTTTATCTCAGCATTAGAAAAAGGGACTTTGAAGCCTGCTCGCATGGAATGCTGATGTTTTAGCAGTTGCTTATTCTCCAGAAGGGGAGAACTCTGTAAAAATAAGATTTTCACAAATCGAAATTCGTTTTGTTTTGCTTATCTTATCTGATGCAACGGATCAAGAAACTTTTCCAGCACAAAATTTGGAAAACAAATAAAAACTTCGAGATTTCATCATAAAATTATCTGAAGAATGAAATCGTCAATTCCTCTCAAAATGGAAGGAGTGCTCTAGCAACTCTAGTAATTTCTATTTAAGAAACGAGTAAAAATAAGTTGCAAACGAATCCAACCTTTTCTGATGTTGATTTTCCATAATAATAATTCCGATTATTCAGACTATCAGTTTCTAATCCGGCGACCTCGTTCTGTCAAAATAAATAACATTCAAAAATATCGCAGAGAATGAAATTATAATAGAAATGCAAAAAATTTACCCATAAATAAAAGCAAATATTACGTTTTATCCCATATGTACAAACATAAATTTTTATAAAATACCTGCAATACGGAATCAGGATTGTGCCTATAGATAGTTCTTGTTGCGTTTAGATGATCTGTTGACCAAGAAACACCAAACGGTAATTTGCCTACAGAGTAATGTACACCTGCCGCAGCAGAAGTAGGACCAACTTGTATTAAATGACGTGAACATGCCTAAAATTTAGTACCGCCTAACATTAATATTACTTAGAAAAAAATGATAATTATAGATAAAAGCCAAAGACTGGAATAATTTCCTAAATAATCATTTAGGTTTCCATAGAAAGAGCAAATAAACTAAGATCAGCAGCACTCAGACCGCTAAGCTAAAACACTGACATAAAAAGTCTGTGCTTTGTTTAGAGGAATAATGTCCTTTGTTTGGGCTCAAATTTAATGAAAGAAAATGAAGTCGCAAAAATGGACTCCTTTAAGTGTTACTTTATTGGACGAAACAACCTGTGGCTGCGATAAACATCGCTGTGTGGTAGTAAAACCGGCAGATTCTTCCTTATCAATAAATTTTCAAAAAAGATAAAATCAAACTTCCAGATAACCTATTTTTTCAAAATTAAGAATCGAATATACCACTTATCTCAAAAGTTCGCTTCCTAATTCTTAGTCATAAATTTTTTAGCTTGGTTAGCTGTTGCGCTAAAATTTTTTGGCTTCTTACTTATTGCTATGAGGACATAATACTTTCCTTAGTTCCTACAAGTCCCCGGGATGCAATCTAAATAAGGCTCAAGTGTATGCGCAAATGCTAATTTATGCCAAAAAAAAGTTGAATTTCAAATTAATGTAATATAACTTTTAAAAGAGAATCAAAAGATTTATATGCTATTGTATCCCTTTTCTTTTCTATTTTCGAAACGCTTGGCTGTTTGGCGTACTGTAAAGTTAACCTCTATGACCTGTTGCCAATAAAAATTTCAGAGAAGTAGGAGCAAATAAAAAAGAAAAGAGACAACTGAATCGATGAAGCAATATACACAGCCTGATTCATAGTTCACTAACTCAGTTATTACTATACAATAATTAAATACAAGCTTTAAGCTTACTAATTGAAGTAGAGTTAGCACGAAGCAGTAAAGAACCTGAATTACTTAAATGCTTAAATAAAGCAGTGAATAAATCAGTGGAGCTAACATCATTTTGTTTAGAGAATTCTTCAACGGGATTAGATTCATGAACAGCAACTTCCTCCTTTGTAAAAACCTAAAAGGAGAATTGAATATAATTATCAAGGCTAAGGGCATACACACTCGAAACAAAATTAATACCAGACAGAAAAAAAATGTAATAGTTATACTAAGGGAAATAACCTATTGAAACCAATGAGATATTTCGCAAGATGCATATAAATTGCTAATAATAAAATGATATTCAGAAAGGAAAGCTACCTAAAGTATATTATTAAAAGGCTAATAAAAAATATGATTTCAGTCATGATCCCATCGAAAAACTAGCAGCTTAGTTGAAACATTTTGTGCAAAAGCTGATCTTGTAAGCTAAACAAAGTACTAACATACTGAATTTAATAATATCTATGGAATGTTAAAAGTACTCCAAGAAGAACCGAGTTTCATTCAACTTGGAGAACTCACCAAGATATATTTCGACTCAAGAAACAAAAAAAGTAAAAAAAAATGATTCTGCGAATGAAAAAATTCTATAAAGTACAAACTCACGAATTTGAAAAGGAATTAAAAAGGAAATAACAAGGGAGAGTATAATAACATAAATATATATTAAATATTTTACCTTTACTTTCAACTGTTGACTGTCTTCAACTTTTAACATATGCACAAAATTAGCTTCTTGCATAGCGTTTGGCCGTTCCAGTTTGACATGAGCGTCAGTTTGAACCAATTTCTTATTGAATGAAGCATTTGACGTCACAACAGCTCCTGTTTCGGTAATTTGAACCTGTATTTCAAAACTATCATTAAATTCTGTTTCCCGATACCGAATATTTCGCTTTGCTAAATAAAGACACTGTAAATACCGTGGTAGGTCGCCCCAGCAACTGAGCGTGTAGTTGGTCTTCAGAAACAACATCACGAATTTGATCAGCTGATTTCGGACAACCCAACTTGTGTTCTACACCTGCATAAAGAAACATCCTTGAACAACATTTAAATTTCACAGTTTTAATGTATTGATAGTTGAAACTTATTAATCTAAATATACTTTCTCTAAGCTTGTCAAAACACTTAAAAATAAAATATTAACCAATGGTTTCATTTTTCACTTGCGGTTTCGAAAGAGCACTCAAATTCAGATTTGTAGTATTCTCCACTTTATTGCTGACAGAAGCAGCGTAAGAAGCTGATAATATCGGCATGGTTGGATCGGAACACTCCGACAGAAGGAAATCAGGGCTCGGAGATAAAGTTGGCACTGGAGACTGGTCACCTAGAATGAAAACTGAGAGTTTTTAAAAATTAAAAAATGTTTCATAAACAAAATGTATCTAACACACCTTCTCCTCTAATTTCACTAAACTGTTCCTCTTCCAGATTCAATGCTTTATCGAGATCACTTAAGGCTATAACAGCTTCGTGATGATGTCCATGTCCCGAACTTTTGCGACTTCCCACACTACTCGACCTTTCGAAAAACTCTAGTTTATCTTGACTGTCAGCATTTATCTCTACTATTGCTACCTGAAACAATAAGAATTTTGTTTTTTCAAAGAACAGAAAAATTGCAGTTTAAATAGAGACATAAATTAAGTAATAGTGTGGAAATAAATAAGCATACCGCCAAATAACATACCGTGTTTTCTTCTTTTTCCAGAATACCTCCATCCTTTGCCGGTAAACTTGGTGCACGTTGTTTCTTTCCTGATAATAAAGATGATAATATGTTAGCATTTACCATATTATTAGTTTCGCAACATATGGGACTTATTTCCTCTGCTAATTCCAACTCGACAGTTGTTGATCCAGCATTCACTATTGTTGGTTTTGAGGTGAATGCTGTTACTTCAGGTCTTATCTTCTGTTCGGTGACAGATAGAACTGATTGACATTGTTTACTGCTCATACTGCTCGCATCGTATGGCTGAACCTGCAACGAGAAAGCGATGTTCGTAAAAAACGCGAAGAAGTAACCATCGTTAATAATCCTCAAGTCTGATAAGCAATATTTATTGAAATAGGACAACTTAGAATGCCACATGCCTATTTGCGATAAGCGTTGCAGTTCCTGAAAACGAAAGAATAATAAGACTATTTAATCTTACTTCACTAGCTGTAGCTACACTACTTAATGTAGTCGTATCATCATCATCTTCATCATCGTACAATGTTTCATCATCACTGCCAACCACCACTTCTGTTGTTATTTGTTCAGCATTCACTTCGCTAATCAACGAACGTATACACTGAACTGATCCTGATTGTACAAAAAATGGATGCTGAAATGAAGCTCAATTCGATACAGATTTTTGACAGAAAGACAAAAAGATAAAGTTATCGTAAAAATTATAAAATCCCCCATTTATCAAAATACGAAATGTGATTTCTGAAAATTTATTCGTTCCTTTAATACTTATATCATATAGATATTAACCAATAAATGTGATGCAAGTTATAAAGCAAAACTCTTAATGGAAGAATCCATGAAAGGCCCAGCAAATTAGTAATTCTTATAATCAACAAATGAATTAAAAATTCATTTCGAGATTTCCCACTTTCACTGCACTTGCAATCGAGTGAATTTCCTGTACAAAAAAAAATTTCAGAAATTTTTTAAAAGTTACACTAACCATTAATACATCAGCGGCACTTGGTCTATTTTCTGGATCCTTTGTTAAACACTTAGTAACTACGGCTCGAAAATTAGGAGACCACAGATTGGGGCGTTCCAGTGTGGGAGGATCTGCCTTTATGACCTAAAGAGAAGATAAAAATTGTGAAAATCTGGCGTTTCTTGAAGTCTTACAAACAGCTTTTGCAGATTTTATTCCTCATAATTTTTTTCTCTTCTATCTACTCCCATTTTCTTTTCTTTACCTTATTTTTTGTCTCTCATTAAACTGATTCTAAGCTTCGTGCCTCTGAAAAAAAAAACGACGAATTAAATCCACCTTAAAAATCACTTTTGCAGGATTCATTTCCGCATAAGGTGGTTTCTCTTCTGCCATTTCGATAAGAGTTATCCCGAAACTCCATATATCTGCCAACTTATTATAATGCTTTTCCGGAAAAGTTTCACATATCATCACTTCCGGAGCCATCCTGTCAAGGACAAACTTTATAACTGACCAATTTCAATAGCTTTCATTGGGAATCTTTTTTTGAAAAAGCAACAGTACTTGTTTCTATCCTGACGATGATAAGAATATATTACCGAAACTACTACGCATTGTGAAATTTTGTCGTGACAGAACCAAATATCAAGCATAAAAAGATTAGAAATGAATTGATTTAAGCTTAAATATTACTTAGAGTACCTTTTTTTTAAATTACTAAACTTCAGCCAAATAAGTCCTACACACAATTTTTAAGGAGTTTCAAAGAAATGCTTCTTCCAAAAGTAAAATTAACATGATTAAAATGAAGTAATAATTTAGGTTTAATATTGTTTCATTTTTCGGTCGTATTTACTATTCAAAAGTCTTAGGAGTCTTAAGGTTGATTCATCGGACTTCCTTTAATTGTATATTGCTAAATTAAAGAAAGCCCGATGAAATATTCCTAGCCATCATAATGCTTCAATGTTTTCACAAATATGAAATTCAGAAAATACGAATAATGATTTGCACAGTGCTCTACACCAATGAAAGTTGGCCAGGAATATAAGCAGTAATAAACAGTTTACCAATACGGTGTCCCAATGAATGTTGATCGTACTTCTCGACCATTCTTGCATAGTGCTGACACACCGAAATCGGCTGCAATTAAATTATGCTAAAGCAATGCAGTGAATTCTTTTTCGTCTCTTCTAAAAACTATTCATAGATAACTGAAATTATCCTACAGATATAAAATTCATTGACTTTTATACTAATCCTTATTTTTGCAAAGAGAAGCATCGTCTTTCTCGTTAGCCATAAACATGACCAATAGATCATCTAAAGGTGAATTACCGACCACAAGTATGGAAAGATACTACTGCTATCATTCATTACTTTCAATTTTAATGAAAAGTAGAAAAAGACAAAGATATTATTTACCTAATTTTACCCTTGCATCACTTGTTAACAGTACATTGCCAGCCTTCAGATCTCGATGAATTACATTTTTGCCATGCAGAAAATGCAGTGCCTTCAGGATCTCTTTCATGATATAATGAATTTGTTCTTCAGTAAGATGTCGTGACAACTCCATCATTATACTGTCCACCGCACCACCACCACAATATTCCAACAAAAGCTGTATTGAAAAAAAAATTGGCTTATAGAAATTATTAAAACTTCATTAGAAAAACTCTACCAGGATTTTTCAGATGGGGTTACAATACAACCAAAGTGTAAAAGTAATCTTTAAGACAATTGGGAACTCATATTAATCTATGACCGACATGCAGGTGCACCGCTGTCAATAAATGTACTGTAGTGAATTTGTATTAATGTAATCCTTATCTCAAACAGTAGATACTTCGTCATTCGTATCTGGACAGTTTATTATAACATAAAAACTGCAAAAAGTCTTTTACAACATCTTAAAGAAAGGAACCACTTTCTTGCATGTATCATTGAAAAATTTTACTGCTTGAACAATCCACACAAATATCGGCTTACATTTTCACAAATTTTCCTTCTAATACTTTGATAAATAGCAACAGAAATATTGTTAAATGTAACTAAGTAATAAGTAACTACCGTAATGCGAGTACCCATAGTAAATGCATCATAAAGTTCGACAATATTTGGATGTTTACACTGAGTAAGAATTGATACTTCAACCATTACATCTTGGCTTTCATCGTCCTCCAATTCCATTGCCTAAAGCAGCTAGATTTTAATCAATCGAAAATAAAACACATGGAAAAGCATATAAAGAAAAAATTTGAGCATATAATAAAATACCTTTGCGGCGGCCACTCTTCCTGGTTCCAGCTTCGATCGTGCTTTATAAACGCTCCCAAATGCACCATCACCTATTACTTCATCCAATATCCAATATTCGCAAACGTCCGTTTCAATTCGAACAATATCAGGAATGGTCTTAGTTCCAGAACCAAAAGTTGACTTTTGGCCATCATTATTAAAATTTGAGCCAAGGATGAATTTTTTAAGCCGATTCACGATCGGCATGATGAAATGAGCATTTGCTGATTTGTCTGAAAAAAGAAAGTAAATATTACGGCCCTTCGTTTGGCTTCTTCATGGAAGGTAAAATAAAGAAAACAAAGTATCACAGTATCATGCATGTTTGTACATCCAGTTCATAATTTAAACATATGGGATCTTAAGCATTTCAGATAATTAAGCCACAGCATATATAATATCCCAACTTATATACTCATTCACTGATTACGACTATTTCTATAGTAATCTGAATTTGAAATATAGAGGTCGAAGGGGAAGGAGAAAGAAAAAAATCAAACGAAAAAATATAAAACCAACGATGGGGTAATCCACGGAAAACATGCAGTAGTCATCAACTAAATAAGCAAACAAATTACTGCAAATTCTAATCCTTAAAATGACGTTGAAGCAAATGAAAATGAAAAAAAGAATTGATGGATAAGATACTTTACGAAAGAGAAAAACAGGAGCAATAAGATTTTCTTTTCATTGTTTATCGTTTGAGCCCACCAGGTGTGAATATTTGTTCTTGATGCTTATCTTATCTTTAAAGTGAAGATTACAACTGCTATTAAAATAATCCTGTTCCAGACACTTTTAGAATGTTAGAAATGAAAATATTATAAGACGAAAATAAGGTGCTTTCTGGATATTTTCCGTAGCTTACATATCCTAAACAATCTGACAACTTGGTAAGCACTGATATAATAAGAATCAAGCAGCTGCATGCGAATCATGTACATTTCTACATATTGTAAGGTTTGCAACACTTTCGACGTAATCTCAACATTGGTATCACTTGATGCAGTGTTTCTCAGCTTATGACACATAAAATGATTAAAGCCATACATCAGGATAAATTTACGTGCATCAGCAATAACCTGAATGAAGTCAGATTTTGAAGATGTAAGGAGAAGTTAAAATAAAGACGGAGTATTCTTTTTGAAACAATACATAATAAAAGACACTGGATCTATTTCTTCTATTTTCCTATCTTCAATTCATAATTTACCGGGAACTATGCTTATAGTCATGTGCTGATAACATAAACTAGTAAGACGTCTCTACTAGACGTCCTAGAGACGTCCTTTTTATCATTCTTATTTTGAGATGATCACTGAATCCCTTTTATCAATGTAAATATAAGTACAGTTTATTATATGCATGAAAAAGTAAATTAATTGCGTCTTATTTGATATATTATCAACATAACATAAAAGTGGGATATTTCTTTCATTTACAATATGAACTTACTCTACGAGAATGTAAAAATCAATCGCAGACAGCAACGTATGACCTATATAAGCGTTACACAGTACCTATTGTTGTACTTTTACGTATATCCAACTTGTATTTCCCTTTTCAAGGCATTTCTAAATTACAATAATTTTTCATGGATATTTTACTCTCCTGAAAATAACTGTCTTTAAGGATTTGTTAAAAAAGAAAATCTAACAGACCACTAAGTTAACAAAGGGCATTTTAAATTAAATTCATTGCATCCATTGCGCTACTTTGCTGAACTTTGATTCGTATCAATCCACTTCTCCCCATTTTTCCCTTTAATTTTTATTGTAAAAAATCGAAAAACTAATGAATATCTGCAACCAAAAAATCACACAAAAGAAAACCGCAATCTGTTCCAATAAAGATGACACAAAGAGATCCAAATACAAAAATTCCATCAATAAATTTATAACACTTAATTTTAGTCTTAGAGCGGGGTACGAAAAGTACGCTCCTTCCCAAACAGAAAAATTTATGCTTTTAATTTTTTTTAATGCATTTGAAATAATAGGTATGGTAAAATAACGTACAATAAAAAAGAAAAAAACTTTCTGAGATATGAGAATTAAAGTTCACATTTCCATATACAAATGTCAGTGATCCTTCACTGTTACACCTTGAACTATGATCTATAAATGACTAAATCTGGCACACTGTATATAATGAGAAAAACGAACAAATTAATTTAAAGCCAACGCTATCTCTCAATGTTTCTTTTCTCTTCACGTTATGTAAAATCAGACTATTAGAGAAAGCTCGTGGTTCGTTTCTTGGACTAACATGACAACGGTGACATATAAAAAAGATGTCACTGTTGTCACCTTAGTCCCAGAGAAGTCTGATATAAATACGAAAACATACTATAGATTGGGTGACCAAAATCTAGGGATTGGATATCACGAAATAAAATTATATCATACCTAATAATATCAATGAGGATGAAATCTATATAAAAAGTTAACAACAATAGCAAAATAATATCACTGAACAAATCAGCAAAGGATATAACAGATCATGTGGAAGATTCAGGTTAACGTGAAATTTCATTTCATGTAAAGTTACTAGAAAGTATTAATACAGCATAGGAAATAAAAATCACAATCTCAAATGTCGAGATTTCCCGTCCTAAAAACTGTGTTTTTTTACCGAGCCTATCAGAGAAAATCGCAAAAAAATACTGCTAACTTATGAAAATTCCCGCGGAAAGGTTCGATTGGAAAACATATTTTAGTGGAAAAATGCCCGAGGTGTACAGTAAAAGAAGTTCGTTTTAAGCTCATCACTTCTAATGTAGCGTTGCTTGCAATTAAAAATAAGATACCTATGATTGAAAACATAAAAAAAACCATTCAACAACGAAGACTATTTTCACGAAGCCCTTAAAACCGAACCGACATATCCACCCACGCAAAGCTTTTTCACCCTTCCGCACGCAGAATGCGTCACCCCACTGATTCACCAAAACTTGCCGGTCGGGTCTCGCTTTGTCACACGTATGGGCCGGACCACGTTATAAAGGTCGTATCATCGATTTGTGCGTGATGTTATTTCACTTCTCATGTTTTGACCTTATGCCACACTACAAGTTTTTTTTTGAGATCTACAGCTTTAGGCCTTAAATTATTGTAAAATAAAGGAAGAGAAAGTTATTCTAATGGAACTTAGCCCGAGTCTGTTTTTATCATTTGCTACGTAATAATTAAGTTATTGGCAATTAGATGTTGTCGTAGTTGTAATTTGAAGTTAATACAAGTGTAGTTGTTAAGATTATCTCGGACTGATTAGTCAGTTTAAGTAACCTATAATTTAACTTAGCAATTACACGATGCAATTTCAATATTTTCACCAACCGTTCAATGCTTAAAGCATATCAAAGTGCTTAACAGTGGTGATAAGAAAGTTACCAGTAACTGTTTAATGTGGGATTGCAGGTCCGGTGTGACATTAGGCTATAAATTGATATGTTTAATACATTGATATTTATAAAAATGAGTGCATGTTTGCATAGAATTCACATTTCAAGTTGTTTTTGCATGCGATTATTTTTTATTTACAGAATGAGTGTTAACTATAGTGGAGGTAGGAGACGTGCAGTGAGTCGACAAACAGCCGAAGAACAAGTACTTGACCGAATTTCTCGGAATGTAAGCGCCTCTTAAATTGTATGCTCGACCATAATTGTCGTGCCATCATGTCAAAAATGATGATCTGAAGGAGGAAGTTGTTTAAAAGGAAAGATTTAAAATCGTAGTGGAGTCAACATTTATTATGTAAATTTTGGTTTCCGAATTGTTTTTACTGGAATTCAGATGTCTGTAACCAAATTTAAAACTAAAGATAAAAACTTGATGGGGCATTGCTCCCATTTATTTCCCGAGTTATTGTCTATAATTGTTATTTTGGCAGACTGTTGGCGTTTGTTTTAGTTAATCGGTTTTCAGCAAAGGAAACCGAACTACTCAGATCTTTTTTAATATATAAACGGAAATAGAAAAAATGCAGTGGGGTTCAGATTAGAATTCTAAAATCATTTTACGTGAATCTGTCTGAAATTCTTGGGTGAAGTCTGCGAATTTATATGTGTGATATACATGTTGGAAAAGATTACGCATTTTTGCAGGCAGAAGAACGGTTGATTCGCAAAAGGCAGGCTCGTGAAGAAGCGCGACAGATACGTCTAGAACAACTCGAGAAGCAGTACCGAGAGGTAATATATTTCATTCATTGTCATCTCTATTATCATGGTACTATCATGGATGATTTATTATCATGAACTTATTATCGTAAATGTGATCATCATTACTATGGTTATCACGATTATTTTCATCGCTATCATTCTAATTATTTTTGTCATTGTCATCAATATTACTGTTATCATCATCTATATTATTATTATAAAATTCGGCAATGGGAAATAATTCGAAGGTTAAATGAGTTAAATTTTTTTCAGAGTTTCTATATAAATTATTTTGGTGTTTTAGAAATCAGCATAAGTAGTAATTATGCTGAATAAATGATTCATCAAGATAAGCAATAATAAAGAAAAGCAGAGACTATTGATATGGTAACAATGAAACAATAAGTTAACTGAAAGGCTTCGAAAAATGATCTAAAAATTAGTGGTGGATCGAAATTGCTTATCTACGTATATCGAAACATCTAACAATCTATCTCATCTTGAAAGGTGAAATGAATAAGGAAAGAAAAAGGGAGAAGCGGTTGATTTTTCGTCGTTAGGCTTTTGAATTGGAATGCATTCTGTGTAGAAAAAAATGGTAGCAACTATTTACTGCTTTGTTAAACATTTTCCCTTCCACAACAGTAACTTCTCTCGAAACCGGTTCCTGAGTACTTCTTTGGGGCGGAGAAATAACAGGAAATGGAAGCGTAAAGCTAGTTGCAGCTTTAATGCTGTTCTTGCAATTACAGCAGTTCATTTGCCATTGTATTGATCGTTTTCCTCGACTTTCAAAAAATTCAAATTCGATGTATCACACACTCCTGTTACATTATTAATTTTGCAACAGAATTTAACCATAATTATTGGGGAAGAGCAAATTATTAGCAAGATTGTCACAGGAAATCTCTGATAAATTTATTATAGTTTCTATTTATTTGATAATTATTTAGTACGTGGCAGTTCATGAAGCATTATTCATAGGGGATAAGATTTTTAATTTATCAGATTGCTTAAAGCTCCATATTTTTTTCATGTATTA